GTCTATAAAAATCTGTTTTATGGGGTCATACACCTTTAACATTAAAGCGGGTTATAGTCAAAATAATACGAAGGTAAAAAACACAAAAACTTTTGCTCGCTGGCATGATCAACAAACTGGTTTCAGGTGATTTGACCTTTTTGACATGAGAAGATGGGCATGGTCAGCAACATTACTCAGGTAGGCAACAGTGATCAGCCTGCACTAAGGGGGCTGTCAGTGTGCTATCCCTATGTCCCGTGCACCAGGGATGTCAGACTCTGTTTACATCGTGGGCCACGTAGAGCTGTGTTTGACCCTCTGTAGGCTGGATCGGTGAAATTCTCCTGCCAGTGTAAAGAAGTTTAACCACACATGGAATGATTCACATATCTTAGAAGAAGAAAACAGAAGTGCAGCTTCGACAGAACATCTCAGTTCTTCTAAAAAAAATAGATTCCGTAATAAATGGAAGAAATCTGTCAGCATGGCTCTCTGGGCTTAAACTGTAACACATAGATGTGTAAAATTACAGAAAGCTGTTAGCTTATTGCCCAGTAATGAAAAGTTTTTTTTTCTGTAGACCCTCTATAGAAAAAAAGAAAGTTCTATTTTAGATAGTGAAAAATGCAGGAAATGTTCTGTTATTTAAATGCTTATGTTACTTAGGTAAATTGATGTAGTATGAGAGGCCATGGAGGAAGTCTGTCACTAGTAAATGTAAAACGTGAAAATGCAGTTAAAAGTCCAAAATCTATACCTTTCTTCACATTTTACAAAGTGGGCCCGTAGGCCAGATTAGAGCCTCTGATGTGTCCCCGGCCCATTTGACACCCCTGCCTACACCACTACGCCATCCCCACCCAGACCCGTAGATACGAAGCAGAATAGAGCCATGCTTTCATGTTGTTTAAGACCAATTCTGACCTGATCATCTGAGTGTTGCAGCAGAAGTTGAGACTCATCAGACCCGGCAACATTTTTAAATCTTCTATTGTCACATTTTGTGTGGAGTTGTAGCCTCAGTTTCTAGTTTCCTCACCGGTGTGGTCTGCTGCTGCTGTAGTTTGGAAAAATCCCAGCAGATCAGCAGTATCTGAAATAATTCTGGCACATGCAATCATGCTACGTTCAAAGTCAGTTTGAGCTTCAGCAGCTCATATGGAGCCTGTCTACATGCCTAAATGCAGTGAGGTGCTGCCATGTGATTGGCTAAGATATTTGCAATGAAGATCATGTCAACAATTATATGTTAACCTTTCTCATCGTCTCATAAAAGGGTCGAGAGTGTACAGAAAAACAAAAAACGTCAAAGCCAACAGATGCTCCACACAATCCATTAAATCTGCTGTCGTTTTAAAAACTTCTTTTTTCTCTGTTCCCCGCGGATGAAGGTGAAATTGAGCTGGGAACTGCCTCCTTCTTCAGACCTTTAGCTACACCCAGCAAAACAACTTCTTTTATTGAACTACCACAGATTTTATTTAACTGCAGAAAACTTACTGAACCTGAAACACCGGATAGCAGATCGTTTACGACATTCACAAACCTGAATCAGCGTGAACGTTTCTGTTTCTGACAGTTTTACATGTTGTTACGCAACATGAACGTTGGGCACCAACGTCGTTTTACTGTTTACAACATTTATCGCTTCGATTCCGCTAAACTTTAACACATGCAAAGTAGTTGGATTTATTTTTTTTTTTTTTTTAAAGGTGACAAATGTGTCTCAACATATCAACGCCTGAGAGGTCACTGACACCCGACTACGACTCAACGATGTCACTTGAAGCCAGGTGAGCATGAAGCGACTAATATAACCAGGAAGAACTGCACAGTCATCAAAAATGATGTTCAAGTGTGAGGTAGGGATCTTTATCGCCGTGTACTGTGTGTTAGGTGTAAGTCTGCAGGCCACACACACGGGGTACAGCAGCAGCAGCCTGACGGACGAAAGCTCCCGGTGAGAGGCGGGCAGATAATACCGATACCAACGCTGGTATCGGATCGATACTAGCGTGATAGGACCGTTACTTTGTTTCTATCCTGTTACGTCCCCCCGAAAGGGTCTAGGCATGCGAGTGAGGGGACCAGTAACAAATGAAAGGAAAACAGAGGTGTTTTCAGTAAATAAAATAGTCTTTATAGATAATCTTAACATAAAGAGCCGGCAACGCCGTTTTACCAATAACACTTGGAAAAAGGAAAAAAGGTTGCAATAACAAAGAACACAACAACCAAACAAAAACGCCACACCAGGAGGAGGCACTTCCAGGGGCCCACAAGCTCACCCTATCACTAGCAGCAGCCCACACTACTCACATAAAGCAGCTATACTATTCCCACAACTCCACACCAAGAACACCCCCCACCCTGCTCACAGCTCATCCCCAGCTTATATGATCTCAGAGAGGTGATTGCTGACTGGGCCCAGGTGGTAAATGAGTCCAATGAGCAGCAGCTGTGTCCTGGGGCGAGAGAAGAGCAAGAGAGAGACAGAGGGGTGGAGCAAGAGAGGAGGAGGCGGAGAAAAACACCACGCCCACACAAGGGCAGTATCAGGAGGCCCAGCTAGGGCCCTAACATATCCTCTGTGGTCTGTATAAGCCCAGGTGTTTCTTGAAATGTAATAAATAAAAATATCTTCGAGAATACTGATTTACACTAGGGTCACAGCAAACATTTACTCAGCCAATCACATGGCAGCAAATTTAACAATGTAAGCATGTTGACATGTTCAAGTCGTGCTCCTGAAGTTCAAACAGTGCATCAGAATGGAGGAGAAAGGTTATTTAGGAACTTGAGATTCCCATCATAAACATGCAGCTGAAACTGCTCAGAGTTTTTGGTCCATGTTGACATGATAACCTCACACAATGTTTCCAACACTGTGCTGAATCTATGCCATGAAGAATTTAGCCCAAAGTGGTCCAACCCATTACTAGTAAAGTGTACCTAATAAAATGGCTGGTGATTGCATATTAACATTTACAACTGTTGGATGTTTCATGCACTCTAGAAATGACATTTAATACAACATTTACTCATGCCCTGGCGTGATGCTGATCGACTGTGATGATGGTTTGGAGTTCTGGGTGAATTTTTATTCTCTCAGTCATTTTTGTAATAGGTTAGTTCCCATTTTATCAGCACAACTTAACAGTGACATAATGGACTTTTTAAATAAAGCATAGATAGATTATAAGCAGCCACCACACTAAAATGAGTGCTTAGAAATCGTTTTAAATGAATTTTTGTCCTAATGCAAAAAAACCCATTGAATTTAAAGACTTTAATTAATTTAATCTCACTTTTTTTTTTTAAGAAATTGTTTTATTATTTTAAACAGCAGTAAAAGACAGATTTTATCAGTAAGGACACACTGCTCATTGCTTTTTACTGTAAGTGGAAAAAGCATGCTTATATATGTAGTCACCCCACAGAGGCCCACTTTGAGGCAGACCAATTTTCAGGTTACAGCCGTCATCTGGAAAGCACGCTGTTATCCAAATACCGCTAGTAACAAACAGGAGGCCTCTACATCTTCTTTCAGTCCAATTATTCAGCAACTGTGGTGCAAAATCTGACTAAAATGTCTCTTTCAATATCTTATACAGTAGCTCAAGGCAGTGTACCTGTGACCACAGCGAGGCCTTTGATGATGTACTGAAGTACGTCGGTAAGCTTCAGGAAAGCCACAGCCAACTTGAAGAACACTTTAAAAACTTAAATGCGAGTCACCAACGAGACTACTCTTTGCTCTTTGAGGACCTTAAAGACCTACAGAACAGGTACTATATTACTCTGTACAGCTGTATAGGCTGAAACCATCTGCTGTTTTTATGTAGTGTTGTGTTTTGCAGAAGGGAATCTCTAGAAGAGCGATTCATTGACTTGACAGAACAGTATCAGAATGACGTTTGGAACATGAAAAAAGAGTTAGCCGCCACAGCGGAGAAGAGTGCTGATCAGTCTTCTGATGCAACACAAGATTTTTATGCAAGTTTCAAATAATGTTTTCCCATGTCAAGAGAAGTTGTTCCAGTATGTAACTGATGTGCTGATTCTTCCTTTCTGTACAAAATAAAAAAAAAAAAATCCAGATTTACTCTTTACTATTCCACCTCAGAAAAAAACTCCAAAAACAGATTCTGACAGGGCTAAAAAGATGCCAGGCCCTTTTTAACCACTATAAGGGCCTGGCATCTTTTTAGCACTGACTTTGTAACTGTACTTCTCCTTGGGCAGTAGAAAACTTCAATTCTGTCTCTGGCCTGCAGGAGGTGCTGGAGGCTTGTGAGAGACGCCAGTTCAAGCTGGAGCAACAGCAGCAGAAAGAAGAGGATGCAGGGCATCCAGAGACATGGGTCAATACCACTGCACAGACAGTACTTGAAAAACTAATTGATGTATCGCTAGCCTTTATAACTGTGCTTTTGGTGCTGATGTCCACAGTGAGCAGCTGGGTGGCCCCATTTTTCAAGACAGCCCTTCTAATGCTTTGCACACCGCTTTTTCTGGTCCTTTTGTCTTTCCTGTGGAGGCACTGGGATGTTATTTTAGAGTATCACCATTTACCCTTCTGCAATTAACATCTTTGAAACAAATAAAATGAATGCAGACACCCCTCAGTCATCTTTATTACTGCAGTGTATGGAAACTTAAATCTAGTGCATGTGTCTTACTACAGAAAGCAATAGCCCATACAGTGAAGTCCGAGTTACACAGGAATGAATCCTTTGTTTACAGGTTCAAGGTTCGTTATTTGTCACATGCATAGTTATACAAGTATAACACACAGTGAAATGTAGCCTGACACGCTCCTCAACATGTGCAAAAATGTTGCACATGTTGGACACGAATCTACAGCTGAGGATGGTCAACATATTCAGGGACATGCACCGATTTATAGAAACAGTGACTCAGTTTGGTGAGGAGCCCACTAGGTCAGCTCGTTTACACAAATATGGTGCAAATATGGTTCACTCAGAAAAGCTGCCACCTGAACGTTAAGTTCAGAATGTTTGCAGATGAACAACTTTTTATTTTGAAACCAGGTTACACAGCATTATAGACTTGCTGTCATAAACTCAATTGCAAAAATCGGTCAGGTTTCTTTCATTGTAGGGCATGTTAGACCTTCAGTAGCACAAATGCAGAAGGTCTGAAGTAAATTAGGTGCCAGATTCAATACATTTGCAATGCTTGGGGTTAGTTATTGTATAGTCTAGTATTAAAGGTAATTAGAATATACTGAAATGCACTCGAGCTAAAAACTTAGATTTATTTGATAAACGATATAAAAACAGTCTAGAATTACAAGTTCAATCTTCAGACTTTGTCCCTCATTTTCCGCTTGATTTAGAAGCCACTTTACTGTCCGCTTTGGCAACCTTGGCCTTTCCAGGCTTTGACTCCTTTGTTTTCTTTGCTTTAGTCTTGGTCGAGTCAGCAGTTTCCTCACCATCCCCAGTCGGTTTAGCTTTTTTAGCCTTTGGCTTCTTCGCTGGAGCAACCTTTGATGTAGAAGCCTCTTCATCCTTCAACTTTTTGGGAGGCTTTGAGTCCTAAAAGGCAAAAGGGGAATTTAGGAGACAGTAGATTGAATGTCAGAATTTTATGAACACTGGAGAGAATGTAAACTACTTTACCAGACAAATAAGAGATCCTATGAAAACTGCCATGAGCTTCATCCACATTCTTAAATACATGAAGAGTCAACTTCCCATCTAAAGCCAAACTTGCGCCCGCTCACCTCTTTGGACTTTGTTTGTCCATTTGCAGCGTCTTTCTTCTTTGTGGCACCTGTAAGAAATGACGAGTTGACACCGAGTAACAGCTTAAATTACTGCTCGCTCGAGGTTTAACGGTCATTCATACCCGCTTTCCTGGGCTTCTTGGCTCCATCCTTGGCTGCTTTTGGAGACTTCTTCACACTGGGCTCTGCGTTTTCGGCTTTTGGTTTAGGCTTCGGTGCAAGCTTAATAAAGACGAAACCCGTAATTGACATTTGAACTCTTCGTTTGAACCCAGCTGCAGATGTAACCTCTTACCCTAAATCTCCTCGTGGCCATTGTCGCGCTGGAGTTTCCAGGCTTCACCAGCGTCCCATTTTCCACTCCCTTCTTCAGGTTTTTGCGAACTAAAGTCTTCAGTCTCGCCAAATCCACCGACGGATATTTTTCTGTGATATACTTCAGTATCGCCTGGGATGAAACCCCTTTGCGCGAGTCCAACGCTTGAAGTGCTTCTTTCACCATGATCGCCGTGGATGGATGAGGCGCAGCATCTACGCAGAGTAAATTTACATATAATTTTTAAAGTTCGTTCCATCTTAAAGATTTTCGCCTTTTGCGCACAGACCTGATTTCTTTTCCGGCTTCTCATCCACCGACGCCTCGCTTGTGGATGAATCAGACGGCTCAGTGGAGTATGCTGGTGGCCTTTTGGGAGGCATTTCACTAAAATCTAAATTTAAAAACAGGACACAATAAAGGCAGACAAGTTAAAGTCTTAAAATATGCGTACTCTCCTTTTATTTGGCAACTGTCTCCGTTTTTATGCAGTTGTTTCCGGTATAATGAGACCAGGTGAACCGCATCGCACCAGGTGTGGTAAATTAGGATTTGAAAGCCACCGCGGATTCATCCAACTTCATGTGTTATCACTGAATCCTGTCACCTCATCCGGTGTCAAAACACCCAAGCAGTGCTTCAAATGCACAGATAGCAAGGCGACATTAAAACAACGCTGCCTTTTTATTTGAATCGTCGTTGTGGCTGAGACTGAAATCTCAGACCTAAATAAATGTCGGATCAATGTTAAATAATGATTAAACTTGACGGTGTGACGACAGTGACGTATGCTTTAATTGGCTGATCGAGATTTTGGGAATAATATTTAAAAATTACGGATTTATGACCAAGAGACAACCTACCCAGGGACTGAAACGCACTTTATCACATACATATCTTTGCTGACTGTATTTGGCACTTTATGCAACCTTTTGCACCTCTTTATGATGATATTTGTAATAGTAAAATAAACTGTTTTAGGTGGTTAAATGTTATGCTCAAAATTAGCTTTTGAGATGTGAATTTAATCATTTTTAGTTTTTGACAGGTTTCTAAAATTTCACGTGCTTTATTCACATTGTGTTTTTGTATTTTCTTTTGTAGTTGGTGCAAATGCATTACACAGAGAATTTTCCTTTAGCTATAAGCAGTTCAAAGCAACAGTCTAGGCTGGATGGAGGCAGGACATCACAGAGGTAGGAGAAAATTCCCCAGACATAATTTCAAGCTAAATAAAATATTCTAAAAAGTATTTAACGTGAATTAAATGAATAATAAGAAGTTTAATAAGGATAATATATTTCAACATCATTACACAATTTATCCTGGCTGTAGATACAGAAGTACAATACTCTGAAGTATTGAGTATTGTTAATAATTTGCCTTTTAATATGAGTTGAAAGCCACAAAAGTGATTAAAAAACAATGTCAGAATTCAGTATTGATTAAATGAAATGTTTTTCTTTATCTAACTGGATAATTGCATGTTGATGTACATCAGTATGCCAAAATTAAAAGATGCCAGGTTATAACCAAACTCATCATTTATATCTGTAGTCCCAGGCCACGTCACATAAAACATTAAAATGAACAAAGACATAAAGATATACAACAAAAATAAATACATAAATGAGTTCTGGGTGGTCACACACCTGGTTTGCTATCAGCCAGTGTTTGAGATGCTCCCTATTTTTGTTGCTGTTTAGCTTTATTATTGAAGTTCTCTGGTCATGTTGTTAATATTATCTCAATATTATCTGAGGGTGCAAAACTGATTAAGAAACAATATCAATGCTCAATGCAGAATTCATCAAATTTAGACTGATAGCACAATGTTGAACAACTATTGTTTGCTATCTCAGTGTGCACACTTGTGTCTGTGTCAAAAGCAGATGCGTGTCACACATTGTAGACGTGCGAAAATGATCTTTACTTTAGTAATAACCGCCTTAGTGGCTTCTGTGTTCTCATAGATAAAATTACCTCCTAGAGAAAAAGGACAGGAACTAAATTTGTACTCACAACTCATCACTGAAACTTTGTATCTAATTTACATATGAAGCAAAATCAAATTTAGATTGCTCAGTGACTGCAGAGGCAGACTTGTGATGAGTGTAAAAATGTTTGCGTAGGTGAGGATGAGTTCATGCTTGAGTTCAGCCTTGGGTCTTGAAATGCCTACAAACAAAGAATGGCTTTGATATGTTTATATTGAGGACTTCAGAAACTCAGCCGCGGCTCCTCTGAAAACACAATGTAGTGGTGACATGATGGGTTTTCCACTCAGAGTATGTTTTATGAATTTTCCTCTGGGGCCACACAGGACACTGGGACTCTTGTGGTAAGCTTATAATCGGATAACATTAGTATTAAACAGAACTGAGTCCAGCTTATTGATGCAGCCCTTCACAACAGTCCCAATTTCCCATGTGGTCCCTTGGGAAAATGAATTAACCACTCGTGCATTTAATATTAGTTCTTCATCCATTTATTGAATTTGCATGCAGCATGCACCATTACATTATGCGACTTTATTTCTATTTTGTCTATTTCATAGAGAAACAACAGCTCCAGTAACCCTAAAAGATACAATGTAGTGGGCTCCATTTTGCATCTTTTCTCCTCCACCTTCATGAATATAGTCTCCATGCGTTCAGACATACAGCAAAAGAAACACAAATAACATAGCAAGCAGACATTACTTAAAAAAGAGGCTGATGATTTGCAATGAGCCACTGATTGAAATGTCTTAAATGTTGGATATGTAGAGCGCTCTGTTATTGTCTCTGGGTTGCAAGTTGGTAAAAAAAATCATGTCGATCATGGTCTGTAGTCATGATTGTAACATTATTTCAGTATTATCCGAGAGTGCAGATGTAATTAAACTTAGTCTGATAGTGCAATGTTGAACATCTTTATGCATACTCAATCATTCAAGTAAGAAAATCGCCAAATGTTGATTCTGTTCATCTGGATGTAGTGTTTTCAGTGAATGCGGCACTTTCTGAATGTATCATTCTCCCTCTGAAAAAACTGAGTCCCATTTTTGAGAATGTTGAACATCGTTTCAACTGTTGTTTAGTGCGCACATTTGTCTGTATCAAAAGCAGATGTATTTGATGTGTTGTAGAGGTGTTAAAAATCTCTATTTCAGTAAAAACCATCATAGTGACTTCAGTGTTGTCATAAATACATTTATTTAATAGAGCTAAAGGGCAGGAACTAAATTTGATTTGACCTCTCATCACTGAAACTTTGAATGAATCTATATATGAAGCAAGAAAACATTTAGACTGCTCAGTAAAGAGGCAGAATATCAGGTAACAGGTTTATCAGGTAACAGCAGATACAAAAGCTAAAATGTGCGCTTTACTGTCTTATGAACTAACTTGTGAATACTTCATGTGTTGCAGTGCTTTGAAAATAAATGCAAGTGATGCATGTGTGCAGATAGTGAGGCCTTTAACCCACACAAATTCAAAGTAAATGATGCTCAAATGTGCTCTTCTCATTAGCTTCTTTTCACCCCTCTGCTGTGGTTCTTTGTTTCTCAGTAAAACACGTATGGGTACTTTCGAAAGCTGCATCGTTGTGGCCTTTGGCTGTTGTTCAGTGCTGTTGCTTCCTGTCTTTTTAGTTTGAACAAGTGCTGCAAAATAACAATCAGTCTGTTTAATTTGGCTGTTGCAGTATTCAGCTTCATCATGGCTGGACACCTGCTGTTTGCCATCCTCATGAGTAAGTCAATTCTCTGTAGATTTCACCATAAATGAACTCAGGGTCATCTTTGCAAATTACCTACATTTTTCATGGCTGGTGATTCTATGCAGGTTCGTTTATTGAGAAACTATTGTTCTTGTTGGATTAAATTAAATCTGCATTTATACAGACTCTGAGCAAGAACTAACTCAAACTTTAACAGTTTAATTGTTTAAATGTTACATATGTGTTCATATCCAGTTATTAACACATGCATGTATTTCCCTTGTTAGACATGTTATTTCTGACAGTTTCCTCTCATGAGTATCAAGTCCAAGGTCAGTCTGCAATTTACAGTTTTAATTTCAAACTGTTCTTTTAGCATCATATGAACTGATACAGTCTGCAAATAACCAAACGAAGTTTTCCCACACTGTTTGTTTACAACAAATCTCTCTCATTCAGTGTGTTGCCATAATAACCTTTTAGATATTTGATACATGTATTTCCCTCTAATCTTTCAGCTCTTCTTCCACCAACTCTGACAGTGAACACATCAGTGATCTCAGAGACTGACTCAGTCACATTACACTGTCAGGCACCAGCATCTGCCTCAGTTCATCACTGTTATTTTTATACTGGGGAGCAACAAAGTAACAAAGGCAACTCGTGTCTACAGACACTGACAGGAACTGAACTGCTGTTTATGTCACATCAGAGACCACCTGCTGAGGTCAAAGTCAGATGCTTTTACACAGTGAAATATGGAGCTGTGAATTCTCCTTCACCGCACAGTGACACATCCTCCATCACCATACAAAGTAAGAGACTCTTCTTCCTGTTATTAGATCATTTATCATACAATTACCTTTAGCAGGAATCTGGTGGACAGTGCTTCATGTTTAGGAGAGTATGTTAAAGTTAATTACAGTTGTTGTCAGTTATTACTTTGCAGGTCTCTGGTTATAAACATCTAGCCTACTACACTGAACTAAATTTGCAGATACAAAAACCTGATACAGAATCACTGTTTGTATTTCATATAAAAACCTGTTATGATAAAATTATGATGGATTTCAGTTACACCTTTCTGTGTGTTCATATTAACAGACATGACGTGATGGTCCAGCTGATATTTAACCAGTTCAACATGTGTTTCTCACGCATCATCTGAGAAGGCTGAATGTCAAATTTTACTGATTCGTCGAATACATGTAAAATACATTTCAGCCTCCATGTGGTGTTAAAAGAAATTTCAGGGGATCGAAAAATGTTAACGTCAGTTGTAAAATATGATGACTGAGTGTTATAGTAGGACAGTTGTGATTATCACCGCTGTCGTCGTTTTTGTACTGGTAAAACATGCAGAATATGTGACTGATATCTAATGATACTGCATTGATCTTCATGTAGGTCAAACACCACAGATGAGCGTTCAGCATTTTAATGGAGAATATGTTCTCATCACTTGCTCTCTGCCTGGATCTGTATCTGGATCACAGAAAGCCACAGCAACAGAAATGGTGTAAAACATGTTCTCCTTTTCTTTATTTCCTGTGGTTTTAGCTCAGGCTAACATCTATAGGCACTTTCAAAAGCCTGTTCACTGTGTAGCTTGTGGTCTTTATGTGGGAGTTTCAGCACTGTTACTTCCTGTGGTTTTACTCTGTGTAAGTTCTGCAAAATGATTGATCGAGTGTATCAGTCAGACTTCTGGACAGTTGTAGTTTTCAGCTTCATCATGTCTGGACTCCTGTTATTTGTCATCTTCGTGAGTAAGTTAAACATCCTGAAAGTTTTTGCATTTTATGTAGCAGTAATTTTTGATGGCTGGTTTTGTGTTGAGTGTTTATGCAGTGTGTGTTTATTTTGTTTATTTGTATTTTTATTTGTATTGAGAAAATTCAGTATGGAGTCCAAAAGAAATTTCCCTGTGTTAAATTAAATTGATCTTGACTTCTATCTGGACTCTGATACAATAAAAAATGTTTCTACATTTTATTTATATTTTTATACTTATTAATATATATATTTACCTTGTCATTTTTTTCTGACAGTTTCCTCACCTGAGCTTCAAGGACAAGGTCAGTCCACAATTTACTATTTTAATTTCAAGCTGTTCTTTAAACATTTAACATGTTTTTCTTCTGATGAGTTGCTCTTTACTGAAATCATAATTTCTCACTGTCATATTTAACAATTATATTTTTGATAAAACGCCTCTTTACCTCTTATTGTTTAGCGTGTCTTGGACCAATGCAACAGTGATCTCAGAGACAGACTCAGTCACTGTCAGCCACCATCATCTGCTTCAATATGTTTAGGTTATTTTATACTGGGGAGCAAGAAACTATCAAAGGTTTCTCACGTTTACAGACACAGACAGGAACTGAAATGCTGTTAGTGCCACATCAGAGGTCACCCTCTGAGGGCAAAGTGAGATGTTTTTACACTGTGCAGTATGCAGATGTGAATTCTCCCTCTTCACACAGTAACACAATCTTTGTCAGCGTACAAAGTGACAGACAGTTTCTCATTTCAGTTTAGATTAAACTCTAACATTACACATGTATGTTAATGTAAATTATAAAACATGATGACTCAGTGTTACAGTAGGACTTCTGTGAATGTCAACACTGTTTTATTATTGCACTGTTGAAACATGACGAGTATGTGACTGATACTTAATGATGATACATTGATCTTCATGCAGGTCAGAAACCAGAGATGAGTGTTCAGCATTTTAATGGAGAATATGTTCTCATCACATGCTCTCTGCCTGGATCTGTGAAAAATGATACAAGATGTAATTTGTACTTTGGAGAAGCAAGTCGTCCAGTCCTAAATCAAACTGTCTCCAAGGAAAGCAGGAGAAAAACCAAACAGAGGTTCTGCCAGTTTTATGTCCCAGTTGCTGATTTTTTGAAGCATCTACTTCTTGTTCAAAAAAAGGATGCCAGCTGTGATTACACTTTGGAAAGTGAACACAAGTCTTTGTCACCTCGCAGTGATCGATACAACATGACAGGTAAGTCAAAGAGAAACATAGCATAACCTGTTTTAGTGTATATGATGCTACTTTTGAAATTAATAAAACATTAATTAAATAAACTGCTACTGAATGTTGAAGTTGACATAACTTTACAAAGTGTGCCTTAGTCGCTGTATAATTATTCCATCTTTTCTTGTAGTTGATCTGATTAATTTGACTGAATTCTGTTCAGTTTATTGAATTTCAGCCTGTTTGTCCATTAAAATTCAAAATTATTTGAATTTATTTGAAAAAAAAAATTCAAAATTATTGGAACTGGTGGTTATAAGAGTGCAGCTGTGCCAGAAGATGTGAATAAAGTCACAGTTCAGCTATGATTAAACTCTTAGTAAGCCATTTTGTAAGCGTTGTAAATATTAACAATGTTGAGCATTGAGCCCAGCATGTGCTAGTGGTGAGCAAGGCTGCAGCTGAGGTTGACATGAAATCATTAATATTCTACTTGGTTACAACCCTCTGATCTCCTACACAGATCTCATCTGTTTTTAATATTCAATAATTGTTGTCATTTCCCAAGAAGGGGTAGTTTACAAAGACATACAGTGGTGTAAAAACCTTCCTGTTTTCCTATTTTTCAAACAAATGTAAATATTAGACAAAGAAAACACAAGTAGTCACAAAATGCAGTTTCTAAATGAATGAGTTTATTATTAAAGACTGCTGTGTATTTTTGTTAATTTCATGTTTTATAGGTGTTTTATGAAAACCTCATCTCTGCAGTCACTTAGTGTATACTCTGAAAAAGATCCTGAATTTCAGGATTTCAATTAATGTCTGTGAAGGTTCTCAGTCATCCAGGTCATCGTAGTCAAAGGAGCTTGCAAAGAAAAGCGTCTGGACTTCTTTAAGTTGCTTGAAGACGTTTCACCTCTCATCCGAGAAGCTTCTTCAGTTCTAAGGTCAAATGGTGGAGAGTCCCAGATTTAAACCTAGTGGGACTCCCCACTAGGTTTAAATCTGGGACTACAAACATTTCGATTAATGTTTGTAGTTCAGTTTAACAAACATGACAGTTCTGTCTGAACAGAGAACTCAAACTGTCCGGAGGGGGAAAGGAGAAAATGCAGTTAAGCGACCTGTAGAAACGGAGCAAAGGAGTTACGAGAGACTGCACAAGGAATAAGTTAGAGAGCTTACTTGCCACACATTTACTAGAGGCTTGGGCGAGGTACTTAAGGCTGGACATTGAAGTGGGGACGACGTGGACCCCAGGCAGCGCAGGTGAGCAGGGAGGTAGCTTGGAGAGTTAGCCAGGATAACTCCAGATTGAGAATGGCTGGGCAGTGAAGCAGAAGAGATGACGATCCGTGAATGTCGTGCAAATCAAAGTACTACATAGAAGCCGGTTGATGATTTACCACTTAAGGCCGAGACAACAATCCGACACCCGAGAGCTGTCACAGTGCTCCTTAAATACCCGGCAGATGACTCCCAATGCACCACAGGCAAACACAAGAAAACCAACCAACAAAATCACCCATCAAAATATAGACACATTCATTTTTATATACATAAACACTTTTTTTTTTATAATTTTTAGATATTTTGGCAAAAGAATGCACAATGTCACCATGTACCATGACCACAGGTAAGACAGACTATACATCTAAGTAACATACAGAACATTGTGAATGTTTTCTTTAAATTAAAAACAAACAAACCTTTTATGTATTTATGCAGCACAACTGAGTCTCAGCAATCCCAGTGCTTCCAATAATACCACTCCTGTAACCCCACCATCAGGTAACTAAATTACTGATAGGTTATGTGTGACAGTAATTAATCAGAAATAGAAAAGTCTGTTAATCTGAGTCCCACAATTAGTGTGACCTAAGAGCATGGCATGAGTAGAGATGACAATGTGTGATTTTGTTATGAGTACATGAAAAATGGAAAAACACGATTTTTTTTTTTAATGTTTCTGTTTCACTTCAGAAGCTCCAAAACTTCAAAAGCCTGAATCAAACCATACCTCAAACAAGAAAACATCAGGTAAGTAAAAACAATTCAATCATTTTAAATCCATAATATTTTTTTTATTAATAGTTTTAACCAGATTTTTTCTATGTACCATGATACAGCAGCTGTGTGTACTTTGTGCATTCATTAAATTCTCACCATGTTAACATATTAAGTTCATTCAGCTCCCAGTGTGTTCATCTGAGTTAAGCATATTAGAAAAAGAAAGTCTTCATCAGTTGAACTCCACAACAAGGACACATCCGTGCAATGAGTATATAAAACACTATGTCGCCATTTTAATTCTTTTTTTTTTTTGCCTGTCCCGTTTGGCTCTTTTGCCATCAGAATTATTGTCTAAAGGCAAAGAAAGATGCCCAATGGATTTACTTTACCAAATTGACCATCCCAGCCTTGCCGTAATGGTCCATTTGATTCACCTTTTATTGTTTATTTTATTTTCACTTACTGAATACGGGACAGACTTGACTGGAGGAAAGAAAGGGAGAAAGAAAGAGGGAAAGAGAAACAGCTGAGAAGAGGGACGGGGGAGAAGGGCAAAAAACAAAATGCATATATCGATCACCTGGATCACCTGCTGAGAAAGAAAAAAGAGAACAAGCAGAAGAGAACAAGAGTAATAGAATAAACAACATCACAATGATATATGGGAATATGACAGTAAATACTAAATATTAAACATTATTGTGCAGCACATAAGATCAACAGAACACAGTGTGCTTTGAGGTAGGAGCCAAAAGGGGTGTAGTTTGTGGGTGTGATCACCCGTGTGTACACCTGTGAGCATGGACGCGCTTGTTTTTTTAAAAGGTTCCTTCATGTAATGATCTGCTAGAGGGTGTGGGGGGGCCACAGCCCCGTCCTCCAGGGCATGAAGCAGGTATGGAGGAGATCAAAACTCCAGACATCCAGAGGCCCCCAGAACACAAGAGACCAAGGAAGACCAACAGAGGGGCAGCTGCGCCACTGTCCCAGAAAGAGCTGAGGAGAGTCCCAGATGAGGGCTCACTCAGCAGCCGCGGAGCAGAAGCCAGGGGAGTTGCAGTGACGCGCCCGTGAGCTCCGCCGGCAGCCAGCTGTGCCTGAGTGACCGAGCCCCAGGCCGAGAGGCCGGGGCACCCCACCTCTGAAGTGGCCCGACCGAGCCCCAGGCTCCAGGCCCCGATAAGCGGCCGCCAAGGAGTGAGCCGGTGTGTACCTGGATGCCCATCCCCAGACACAAAGAACCACCAACACACCGATGTCTGAGGGAGTCCGCCACTGGCAGTGGCCATTTTAATTCTGATACACCTGGGGAGGATTCATCATTAAATCTGTTTGTAAATAAATACAAAACTACTGTTTTTCATCCTCACTTCTATAGAGTATTTTTTGATTTCTGAAATAAAAATGCTGAATAAGATTAACAGAAAAGCACTGCTTTAATTTTCCAAAGTAAAACCATTAATAACTTGATAAATGAAAAATATCAGCCTTCACTGAGAGATGTTGGCTCTTACACCCATAACAGAAATACTTTACTTTTTTATTGCTAATAAGAGATAAGCAACAGTAACTGCTTTACATATAAAACAACAACAACAATAACAAAAAAAAATAAAAAATACACATCAGCTTTCAGTGTCAAATGTTTCCTGTGCAAAGAAACTGCTCACTGTCCCCAGAGTCACAGTTAGAGAGATTTGCGTTGATAGCTGAGCTGATAATAAATCCACAGTGTCCACTGGCTCTGTCCTTTCTTTGACCACTGAATGATAATAAAAGGTCTCATCTTAGAGACCTTTTATTAATAGAATAACAATAATACCATGATTCCAATAATTTCTCTTCTTGGCTTAATAATTAACTCTGTCCATGTGACTGTTGAGTGCAACACCACAGGCACCAAGCACCAGAGAAATACAAAGACGAGAACGATAAATATTTAACAGACATATAAAACATTTTCAGTAAAGACTCAGAGTAAAGGTGGAGGTAAAAACTAATTTTATATTTTAAAACAGGTCCCCAAATATTTCAGTTTGAAACAAAGTGGGGGATGACTGATTAACTCAACCTTGCATTTAGGGTGGAAATGCTGCAGTACTGTGACAGTAAATTTGTTTTTAGTTCCAAAATTGCTTCTTTTAAAATGACTGTGTGAAAGGAAAAAAACGTGTCATGTTGATTTATTTGTCTTCTTTTACTCTGTTGTGAAAAGCAGAATCAAGAGCGACCACCACAAAGTCAACATCTACCACAGCCACAGGTAGGACACAGAGTACATTTAAATATCAATCCAGATCACTTCTTTTTTTCACACCACTTCTTAAAATGATCTTAAACATGTTTGTGGATTTATGCAGCAAAACCGCAGCAAAATACTTCCACCTCTACCACTTCTGTGAACTCACCGTCTAAGTCAGGTAACTGATGTGTTTTGTGTGACAATTGTTGATAGCACATTTAAATAGTTAGCGTCAGCCTTACAGTTAGTGCGACCTCTGTAGTCAAAACGTGACGATTTTTGAGTGGTAAGATTGTTAGGTATGCATCAAAAATTCAGACATAAGCATAAACATTTGCTAAAATGTGCTTCTGAGCAGCTGAGCCATTAATTTAGCAATGTTTTTTTTTCATCATAAATTTGTAACTTCCTGCAGGTAAAGAAAGAGCCTGTTCGTGTAAAAGTAGAGGAACTAAGTAGAGTGGCAACAGTTTTTTTTCTTTTTGTGGCTGAAATTACAAAATATTTACTGAAGTAATTCTGTCCTCAGAGTTAGCATCAGTTTTCCAGTTAGACGCACAGTGAACATACTCACACAGTCAGGCACAGAAGTTACATTAACTTGATTTCTATTATAATTACGACTGTCTACTGTCTGGTCTCTACTGTTATTTTGTTCCCCTGAGGTACGGGGATTTCTAAAACTGAAATAACACAGAAAAAATAAATAAACCAACACATTTTTATCAGAGCAAAACCTACATGATTTCTCTTATCTGTATAACAAAAGTTGTAATAATTAAATTCTCTTAGCTTAATTATTGTTCCTGTGACTGCTGACCAAGAAAACTAGAAGTACTGTTTTGAGTGTAACAACAAAAATAACCACCAGAGGGACACAAAGACAAGAACTATTCAGCATCTCCAGACATTTGCACTCATATTATGTCTGCACTAAATTTACAACAATAAACAAAATATTAGAATTTGGAACAAAGCAGTGGATCGACTGAGTAACTAACAATACTGCTGGGAAAGAAATAGTTAGTCATTAATGTGATAATACTTTTGATTATTAGTTCAAAATGACTTGATAACTCAATCACACAATCACTATAAATAAAGTCTTTAACATTTTTTGTGTATTTATGCAGCAGAATCAAGTCTCACGGCACCCAGGGCTTCCATTTCTACCAGTACTGTGGACGTATCGTCAGGTAACTAAATTACTGATGTTTTATGCATTGTAGCGTTATTTAATCAGAATTTATTGATTTTTCTTTATTAATGCAATCCTCCTCAAAGCAGAGACATGGAGCTTTGGTGTAATATATTGTTTTGTTTAGTTTTTAAATATGCTTTTATTCTAAACATTGTAGAAGAAGTTTCAAGAAAAACAAACACAAAATCATCATTTACCTTGACCACAGGTACGACATACAATTCACGTGAATATTAACTCTGATCATCACACATCACTTCTTAAATCTTAGATCTTAAACATTTCTGGTGCTTTTACAGCAGAATCGAGTCTCAGCAGTTTCAGTGCTTCCACTTCTCCCACTTCTGTCATCTCACCATCAGGTAATTAAATTACTGATGTTTTATTTGTGACAATAGTTAATAATAAATCAGAACACACATTAATCTCTTTTTCAGTTAGAGATGAGATGTGTTTGTGGTTTCCTAAACAGGAATGTGGACACTGACTGTTGTGCTGGTCGTCGTTGGTTCTGGTGTAACTGTGGGTGCCATCTTATTGGTACTGGCAGTTTTCAGATCTAAAAGAAGAACTGGTGAGATCTCAATCAGTTATTATGTAAAATCATGCAGATGTATTTGATAGTTAGAGTGTAATATTAACATTTCACACTCAGTGGATTAATACCGACTACAGTGTCTTCTTCTTAAAAGCAGTTTTGTAGTCAGATTTGTTGTTAGAGGCTCTTCTGTTTCACAGACGTCTCACTGAATCAGAGCTTGTCAGTTTGTAATTAACGGCTGTAAAGCTGATCTGACCCCAGCAGACTAACTGTCACTTCTTTATTGCTGTTTATTCCAGAAGGATATTCTCTAAAGAGGCAAGAAACCTGTTTTCAGCAAGTATTATTTTGTTATCACTTGTATAGACGGAAGTTAAACTTACTGACTTTAGATTTTCTTATTCTGCAACTAAACAGAATTATTGGAAGAGTTGTGGATTAAATGCCTTGCTCAGGGGCAGCGGGGCACTTCAGGGCAGAAAGTCCATTCACTTTCCTGTATCAAAAAACAGTCTTTAAAGTAGTAACCAAACAGAGTAATACGATTGGTCTATGGAGAATATTCAACATTTATATGATTTTTGTTTAATTTTTAAATTAATTTTTCTTTTTTATGTTTAGGACAAGAACCAGCATCCAAGGTACTGAATTCATTCAGTTGCAGCATCAATGTGTTGTTGATTTATACAATATTAGGACAGTATTTATACACTTGTTAACTGAGCTTTATTATTTACCTACTGCTGCAGATGACTTTGTGTGCATGACAAATATTGACCCTGGAAGAATGGTAAATAAACTAAAATGTTTGTCAAATTCTACACTAATATAACAAAACATTCAAAAATTGAAATGCAAGAGGTTTAAGGGTAGTTTAACTTTAATGTATTATTAATGGATTTTCTCATTTAATGTCCTCTTTCCTGCTGCATAAAGTTACCTGAAGGTGATGATGGAGCCTACAGTGTGATCACTTCAATACCCGGTGTCAGCTGTGCTACCGGTGAGCTGTTTTTATTTATTCATTTATTTTTATTTTCCTTTTTGTTTTACACCTACTTAAACACTGTAGTGCAGGGTGGAAGACAAATTTCAATATTGTAATTATATTATTATACCACAGCTGTGGGAACATCTTTTATGTGGAGGCAGGGGGTTTTGAAAGGATGACATGTGTGAAAACTGGGGGTACCTCAACAGCAATATGAAAATAGATATTTATTAGGGGTGCAACGATACACAAAATTCACGGTTCGGTTTGGTTCGATACTTTGGTGTCACGGTTCGATATTTTTTCGATACAAAAATTTTTTTTCATGCCTTTTTAATTTGTCATTTATTAAAATTATAAATATATATTTTAACTCAAAAGTACAGTTTTTAAATTTAATGTTGCTGAAACAACAAAGGTATAAAATAATAAATCTATCTGATGGAGAAGTCACTCATCTTTGGAAAAGAGAGTTTATTACAGCGAAATGGCTCTTTCCAAAATAAAAGCTATACTATCCGCTTCTTCTGGGCTATATTCTCAGCAGCATATTAAACAAATCAGGTCCCCATAAGGAGAATCATGTGCTAACGGCTGTCTAAATGACTCGGGTAAAGTTTGTAGCATGCGTGCTTGTTGTTTTTGTCTGCTTCCACTTGTCTTTGCGCTAGGATGATGTCGGAATAAATGTGCAGTCATATTCGTTGTGTTCCCACTAGTGCTGTCAGTGTTAATCTCGTTGAAATGACGTTAACGCCACAACACGGCAAATCTCCGTTAACGAGCTACCGCGGATCACCCCGTGCGTGGGGCTGGAAGGCCAACACGTTAACGAGCTAACTGCGCTAACACACTAGTTCCCACCAGGGCTGGACTGGCCATCGGGCATACCGGGCATTTGCCCGGTGGGCCACTCGTAATTTTTCATTTTTATGGGCCGATGGGATTTTATTTCTTTCTTTTTTTTAACGATATAAATGAATGGTGGTGGATTGGCCAGTTGGTCATGATCGACTCTGGGCTTGACCAGTTACAGCAGAGGAGGTCGAAATTTAAAGTTGAGGTGAAAAGGAACACGATTTCATCACTACTTCAGCTAGAAAATTGCTAATTCAGTCATGAAACTGATCACTGATCAGCTGATCGGCTTTTCTCTCCAGAAAGAGGGAACCAGCAGATGTCGCGCTAAACAACAGCAGCACGTTTAAGCTTGATCAGCTGTCGGTAGAATTTATTTAATGTTAATTTCAAGTATCAGCTGATGTTCGTTGGAGCCACAGCTGTAAAGCTGCTGGTCATGATATCGGTTTGGATATGTGGTAAGAGGGAAACATGAAGATGAAACCAGGAGATGTCCTTACTGAATCATCAGAGCTGAACAGGTGATGGAGAAACAGGTTTACATTTTAGGTGACATGAATGAGTTGAAGGGAAGAAACGAACTGTTTCTGAGAGACAAATAACACCAGAATCCATACTTTTCTTTCTTATTCTCATTTAAAATGTCTAGCTTTTAATAAATATTTATCTGAATCTTACAACCAAAGTTTTCATCTGATGTAAAATGTATAGAAATACATTATTGTATTCAGTAAATATTGAGTCTAGTATATACCCTAGTAAGTTATAGTATTCTTTCCTTTGGGAAGGTACCATCTGTGGAGTCTGCAATTCTGTTGAAGAAAGATGTTGAATCTATTTGATTACAGGAGAAAAATAATAGATTTCTGTGCATTTGTTTGATATGTGCATTAAATTAAAATCAGTTTTGTCAATTAAGTATCTTGAAACAGAGGGTGGGGGAGTGATTCCCTTTTTTTTTCTGCTGGGAGTTGGCAACCCTATTAGTTAGGTATATGTAATTATAAATTAGGTTGTTTTATATTTTTGCTAAAGACCGTTTAGAATACCAGAATAGGGAGGGTGGTGTAGGTTTAAGTTTATTATAAAGGCTTTATGGCTTTTCCTATAATACCATGGTGGGCCGGTCACTAGTCAAAATGCCCGGGCTGATTTTTTGTCCCAGTCCAGCCCTGGTTCCCACCCATGTAATTGAGCATTGCGTGGCACATCCGACATACTGTTTTACTTTAGTCCATGACGCGCTTACCTTCAGGGTCATACTTCACATGAAAACCAAATTGGTTCGAAACGCCACATCTGAATGAGGGTGGGGGAGGTTCAATTTGCCATGTTGCAACCAGAGCTTAACTTCTGTCTCGCTAGCTTGCCCTGCACTCAGTGAATCTGCGTTCGACTACTCCGCCTAGGCTGCACTGTCGAGCGCAGATCCACTGAGCGCTCAACACAGACAGCATCGTCAGAAGAAAAGTTGATAAAATAAATAAAAAATTTTGTATTGTTCGATACATATGCGTACCGAACCGAAAGCACTGTATCGAACGGTTCAATATCGATACGAGTATCGTTGCACCTCTAATATTTATATAAATGTTGTAAATTGTACATTGTTATGCATGTTTGATGAAACGTGTTTGAAAAGTAGTTCAATATGGCAGCACTTTATCTGCAAAGACCTTGTAACATAACACACACATAACATAAATTGGATACGATACAGAGAAGATTAGCATGGCCCCTGCGCAAGGATGACACGCAAATTCGTAACATAACACACAACTACACCGTTTTTAATTATATTTGTGGACATCCACCATCCACCAGGGGGTGCTGCAGGACAATCAGTGTCCCTAATCCCTGCAGTCCCTACTGCTATATAGAGAATGTACAATATGGTAAATGGCCTGTATTTATATAACGCTTTTACTAGTCCCTAAGGACCCCAAAGCGCTTTACACATCCAGTCATCCACCCATTCACACACTGGTGATGGCAAGCTACATTGTAGCCACAGCCACCCTGGGGCGCACTGACAGAGACACTGGCGCCACCGGGCCCTCTGACCACCACCAGTAGGCAACAGGTGAAGTGTCTTGAGACCGAGACAATGACAAGGACACAACGACCGAGACTGTCCGAGCCGGGGCTCGAACCAGCAACCTTCCGATTACAAGGCGAACTCCCAACTCTTCCTCAGTTTATCTGCAGGTTTAGTTGTTTAGTTGCTGTGTTTCTTTCAAAGTATGAAAAAGTGAATACTATATCATTTAAAGAGTTGCACCAATGAAAAAGCAAATCTTTCAGTTACATTGTTGCTTTTATCTGTTGCATGAAAAACACCAACAAAAGATCCCAATGTTTCAGGTCCTCTTAAAGAAAAAAAAAATAGTGAAATGACAGTAACATGTGGTGTATGCCCTTCAGTACATGGGGAAGTACACCAGGTCATATTTGTGCAGGAATAGAACAAAACTGTATTGCTTCAGTTCTTCTTGCACTTTGTATCTGTCTAAAACAGCAGTTTTAGTTTGTGATTCTTTTAATTGCAGGTGCTGAGAAACTGAATAAACAAGAAAGGAAAGATCAAGATGTAAGTGAGACAAAGGTTCAGTAATTAAGATGTTTGTTATTTGGCTTTGAAGATGCGAGACGTAAATGACTCACACAGCTGTGTTCTTTCTTTTCTAGTTTGATATTTATCATCCATACGCCACCATCGCTGAGAAACCAGCTGTACCAGTCTCACAGGACATGACCTACAGCATGCTGCAGGCACATTGATGATGCTTATTATTTTATTTTCAGTAATGGAACCAAATGCCCACTGTCACTCTGTCAGTACTGGAAATGTTTTTTGTCCCTTGAACAAACTGTATTCTGCAGAAGCTGCAAGTTAAGATTGAAACCGTGTTTTTGTTCTAATCAATGTTAGCACAACATTTTGTAATTGGATATATTCTGCCTGGTTAATGTCAAATTGCTATCTGTGTTTGGCTCAAAATTTTTGCACAGCATTTTTCCTGAAACTATTTTTTTTGCATATAGTGTATCCAAGTAATGACCCTTTTCCACTTTTGTATTTTATTCTATGAAATATTTGTTAGACACTGGCAGGAGGCTGCTTTTGTATCTGGGTTAGGAACAGTAGGGGTTACTTTTTTGTTTTTGTTGCTTTTGCTTTGACCAGAGCTGAGGGCCTAAAGTGGCCGTAGCTGGGCTGTAACGGTGGAGACTTTCTCTTCAGTGGTTAGTGGTTGTCAGTGCAGCCCTGGTTTGAACTGCACTGTAGTAACAGTGTGTGTAAAACTGAGATGTACATTCGAGGTAAAGTAATTCCCTGGACCTCTGCTTACAGGAAAACCACAACACCAAACTGGGATTCAAACATGTGTGAATATTTTTAAAATGAATATTAGAAAAAATAACTTCTTAAGGTCTTAATCAAGTATAACTGTGTGTTATTTGTACTGGTTTGAAATAAATATTCTCTTGGTTAAATTCCCATGATGGTGTCCCTGTTATTAAAACTCTTGAGCTCTTTACTGCCACATGTTGCCACACAGACAGTAGCGGTTTTTGATACGGGCGACACGGGCGGTTCCCCGGGGCGGCATCGTGGTGGGGGGCGGCATCACGGGCATCGGCAAAAAAAAATAAAAAATGCTCGTACTCATGCTGCCCCGACGTCAGCCAGCGCATATTGGGAATGGCATAGGCACCGATCGGTTTTCTATCGCCCATTTCCTGGGAGTAAGGGCGCCCTTCGTCTGCGAGGTGCGCCTGCTGCTTGTGGCGCAGAGAGGAGAGGGCGGGGCGGCGGGGGATTCTCTGACCGGCTGGAGCAGCATCTAATAACCAACTCGCAAAATAAAACAAAATAAAAACAAACCAACAAACACGAAAACACCAGACAGATACAGACTTATAATTTGCACCGATGTTTTTTCGAAATTCTATACACGAAAAGTGAGCGCGAGAGCCCTCGGTGCGCCTGCTCGCTGCTGAAGCCAAAGTAAACTTTATTCTCATCTCCGCTACATACAGTCCAGTATGTAGAGAGACGAAATGACGAGGCTCCAGTTACAGCAGTGCAAGTAAACAAACAATATATATAAGAAGAGTAAGAAAATAAATATACACTTTAGGACTCGGGATAAAGGGATCAATAACAATTTAAAATTTACAGTTTGATGATTTAAAGTCTCACACACAACCCGTCGAAAGGGGAGGGGGGCCGGCTGCTTCCAAATAGAGCACATTTCATTTATAATGTTGTAAATCCAAGCCCATGATTTGAATCCTGGGTTGTGTGAAATCTCAGAAATGCACCCTAGACAAAGTGAATCTGTGAACTAAGGTTTAGGTGTGTTAGATCATGTTGTGGTGATCCTTGGGTTGAGGGATGAGTGTTCATACTGGAGCGCAAAATTAAAACCAATGGAAGACGGACAAGAAAAGTTCAAAGCCATCAGGTCCTCAGTTTAGAAAAAAAGAGAAAAGAAGAGGAGGAGAAACGAGCAAAAGATGCAGGTAAGCAGATGTGTCATTGGATAATGGCAGGTCATCCTGAAACAATCAGAATCAGAATACTTTATTAATCCCTAAGGAAATTATGTGCGTTACAGTTGTTGCAAGAAGAAATGGTAAAAATAGTAACAGTAACAGACTCAACTTCAAACAATGCATTATGTTACAGATTTTAATATTAATTAGTCCTTGTCAATTGTTGATTTGTCCTGTTCTCATTGTATGACGAATTATGATGGCTGTTTGGTAGCCGTTTGCATACTATGCATACTCTCTCTCTCTTCATATGTGTGTGTGTGTGTGTGTGTGTGTGTGTGTGTGTGTGTGTGTGTGTGTGTGTGTGGAGGGGGGGGGGGGGGGGGGCGCCAGAGGGAGTGTTCGCCCAGGGCGCCAAACAGGCTAGGACAGACATCTGGGAAACTAAGCCGATAGCAACAGAAATGACACAGATGTACTCATGCTTGTCTTTATTTCACTTCCTTTCTTGTTCTTTGATCTAAATAAAACTCATAAGTAGTTTCAAAGGGCTGTTCACGTTCATTTGCTCCGCTGTGTAAAAGCGTTCATTGTTGCTGTGGTTTTCCTGTGACGTTCCTTAAACTGGAACATCAGCCTTTACAAAGTCAGACTTTCAGATGTGTTCTGCACAGTCACAGTAATCTTCTTCATCATGGCTGGACACCTTCTGTTTGTCATCCTCATGTGTAAGTTAAACCTCTTGTAACCAGTTTTTTCTCTTTTGGTGCTTCCTTGTTTATATTTTTAACTGATAAACTAACGTGTGGAATCAAAAACTAAAACTTCCTCAGCAGGACGATTCCCTGTGATCTTGAAAAGACAGTTTGTTGTATTAATGAGTCATACATGCCTCCAGTACGTTGTTGACAGACTTTCTTTCCAACAGCTTTCGTTCATGAAATTCAAGCACAAGGTGAGTCCCTGATGTTCTACTTTTCACAAAGATTTTCTTTGACTGCATATTTGTTTTTTATTAAAACCAAAAATTACCTATTAGATAAAACATTTCTTTACCTCTGATTTTTCAGCTCTTCTTCCACCAACGCTGACAGTGAACACAGAGGTGATCTCAGAGACGGACTCGGTCACGTTACACTGTCAGGCACCAACATCTGTTTCAGTTCATCAGTGTTTTTTCTACACGGTGAGCAAAAGTACTTCCAAAGCCTTCTCATGCCTGCAGAATTTCACTGCAACAGAACTGCTGTTAATGTCACATCACAGTTCACCTGCTGAAGTTAAAGTGAGATGTTTTTACACTGGAGACCTTAATTCAACGTCTGCTGACAGTGAACCATCCTTCATCACCATACAAAGTGAGAGACTGCTCTTCCTGTGACTGGATAAGTTATCATACAGTGTGTTAGACATTATTATCTTTATAAAGCTTCATGTTTTCTTTCACAAAACTTTTTTAGGAGTGTTGTTCTTACATATTTTCTTACACCACCAAAGACAGCACGCAGGAATCTAAACATGACCAGTTACAGTTAATTACAAAATGTGTTGCCGTTCAGCTTTTATGAACACCAGTATTGTTATTGTTGTGCTGGTAAAACATACAATATTCTTGTATATTAATGGGACTTGATTAATCTTCATGTAGGTCAAACACCACAGATGAGTGTGCAGCATTTTAATGGGGAACATGTTCGGTTTGTTTGCTCTCTGCCTGGATCTGTGAAAGATGATACAAGATGTAATCTGTACTTTGGAGAAGCAAGTCGTTTAGTCCTCACAGCAGCTGTCGGGAAGAATAGCAAGACAAAAAAGAAAGAGAAGTTCTGCCAGTTTTATGTCTCAATTGATGATTTTTTGAGACATCTACATTTTGTTCAACAAAAAGATGCCAGCTGTGATTACACTTTGAAAAGGGAACCCAGGTCTTTGTCTCCTCACAGTGATCGATACAACTTAACAGGTAAGTCAAAGATAAACAGACTTTATAGCACAGATGCTACTTTAATTAATTAAAATGATGAAAATGACTAAAATAAAAGTATACAAAGTATTTTTCTCTAAAAATGTTTTTTAGTTGTTACTCGCAAGATTTCATTTCATTTCACTGGCCACGACCTTAGATGTGAAAAAGAATAGATCCAGGTTAGCAGTCTCTTGGAACGTGGGAAGAGTTGAGCTTTGATGATATTGTCAGTATATTAACATGCTTACAGTAGAAGTGGGTGGCACAGTGGGTAGTTTTTACACTGGATACTCTTCCTGACACATCCTCAAAGGGATTTGTACAGTGGCTTGCAAAAGTATTCGGCCCCCTTGAACTTTCCCACATTTTGTCACATTACAGCCACAAACATGAATCAATTTTATTGCAATTCCACGTGAAAGACCAATACAAAGTGGTGTACACGTGAGAAGTGGAACGAAAATCATACATGATTCCAAACATTTTTTACAAATAAATAACTGCAAAGTGGGGTGTGCGTAATTATTCAGCCCCCTTTGGTCTGAGTGCAGTCAGTTGCCCATAGACATTGCCTGATGAGTGCTAATGACTAAACAGAGTGCACCTGTCTGTAATCTAATGTCAGTACAAATACAGCTGCTCTGTGACGGCCTCAGAGGTTGTCTAAGAGAATATTGGGAGCAACAACACCATGAAGTCCAAAGAACACACCAGACAGGTCAGGGATAAAGTTATTGAGAAACTTAAAGCAGGCTTAGGCTACAAAAAGATTTCCCAAGCCTTGAACATCCCACGGAGCACTGTTCGAGCGATCATTCAGAAATGGAAGGAGTATGGAACAACTGTAAACCTACCAAGACAAGGCTGTCCACCTAAACTCACAGGCCGAACAAGGAGAGCGCTGATCAGAAATGCAGCCAAGAGGCCCATGGTGACTCTGGACGAGCTGCAGAGATCTACAGCTCAGGTGGGGGAATCTGTCCATAGGACAACTATTAGTCGTGCACTGCACAAAGTTGGCCTTTATGGAAGAGTGGCAAGAAGAAAGCCATTGTTAACAGAAAACCATAAGAAGTCCCGTTTGCAGTTTGCCACAAGCCATGTGGGGAACACAGCAAACATGTGGAAGAAGGTGCTCTGGTCAGATGAGACCAAAATGGAACTTTTTGGCCAAAATGCAAAACGCTATGTGTGGAAAACTAACACTGCACATCACTCTGAACACACCATCCCCACTGTCGAATATGGTGGTGGCAGCATCAGGCTCTGGGGGTACTTCTCTTCAGCAGGGACAGGGAAGCTGGTCAGAGTTGATGGATGGAGCCAAATACAGGGCAATCTTGGAAGAAAACCACTTGGAGTCTGCAAAAGACTTGAGACTGGGGCGGAGGTTCACCTTCCAGCAGGACGACGACCCTAAACATAAAGCCAGGGCAACAATGGAATGGTTTAAAACAAAACATATCCATGTGTTAGAATGGCCCAGTCAAAGTCCAGATCTAAATCCAATCGAGAATCTGTGGCAAGATCTGAAAACTGCTGTTCACAAACGCTGTCCATCTAATCTGACTGAGCTGGAGCTGTTTTGCAAAGAAGAATGGGCAAGAAGTTCAGTCTCTAGATGTGCAAAGCTGGTAGAGACACACCCTAAAAGACTGGCAGCTGTAACTGCAGCAAAAGGTGGTTCTACAAAGTATTGACTCAGGGGGCTGAATAATTATGCACACCCCACTTTGCAGTTATTTACTTGTAAAAAATGTTTGGAATCATGTATGATTTTCATTCCACTTCTCACGTGTACACCACTTTGTATTGGTCTTTCATATGGAATTCCAATAAAATTGAATCACGTTTGTGGCTGTAATGTGAAAAAATGTGGAAAAGTTCAAGGGGGCCGAATACTTTTGCAAGCCACTGTGTCTTCTCCTGGGAGAGGAGGGTATCGG